ATTTTAACAAAATCAAACAGAGACTTTTGTTTGATGTGAATTAAAATCAGATTTTTAGTATATTTTGATAAAAGTTAATGAAATGTGTGGTTAAAAAGTTGTGAAACTTATGAAATACGTGGTTAAAATTAATTGTTGACTTTGATTTAAATTAAAATCTGAATTTTGAATCATACCAAACAAGGGCTTAATATTGATGAAGCCAAAACTGAAAAGTAAATTCAAATGATAATTAATAGATACTAATATGAAATCATATACATATGCAAAGCATGTTCAGTGTACTGTATTATATAATTCATTCATTCTTTATTTGTTTACATTATGGGAAAGCCTAACAACATAATTTCTTGGACTATGTAATAAAATTTTGTTTAGTATGCAAGCAAATTAAATAATGCAACACATACTGATTTGTTTAATAGTGTAAAGAGAGAGGTCCCCGACATACGTATTCCTTCGACAAAGGATACACGCATGCTATTATTATTTTTTTCCTAGTTTTAAAGGTTAAAGTTAGGTATGAAATTTTTTTGGACATATTTAGCACGCTCCTGTTTGACAACCATTATTTAAAAAAAAATTAAAAAAAATTGTTTTGAATAGTAAGTTTTAGGAAAATGTTTGGTCAAAATAGGAATTTTTTTTGAGTTTAAATACAGAATATTTTATTGTATATAGGAAAAAGAGTTTTCAAATAATGATTATCAAATAGGGGCTAACCAGACGACAGTTATGACAAGTTTTAATGCATATCATACTCCTTCAGTCATGTCTACTTGCATTTATATAATATAGATGCCCTTGTAGTAATAATACAAAATGTAAAAGAACATTCACATATGGTCGGCCTTGAGAATTTTGGTGTTTTGTATAATATTTTAAAATGATGCCTCTTTCATGTAATTAAAAAATTTACCAACACCAATAAAAAAAAAAAAAAAACTTAAAATAGTGTAACCCTTACTCTTCTAGAACCAAAAAAATAAAAAAAAAATAATGAAATATCAAGTAACAAAGACTGAGGGTAGAAATTCTTCTCTTTTTTATTTGATTGTTCTTTGTGGCATAAAGAGTGGGGGAAGAGAAAAATGACGTAAAAGGATTTGGGGTTAATTTTTTACTCTCCACTTTAATCATTTGGGTTAAAATAGATAGTTTAAAATTAAATATTGACTCAATATATTTTTCTTTTACCCTTTTTTCATAACTATTGTTAGGGTTGTCAATTGGGCCGAGCTGGCTTGCGGCTCGGCTCGTCAAAGCTCGGCTCGTGGGCTGCTCGGGCTCGTCAAATGACGAGCTTGAGCTTGAGCAGAGCGGGGGGTCCCGTCCAACGAGCCGAGCCCGCTCGGCTTGTCGAGCTCACCAAGCGGCTTGTGGGCTCACGAGCCGACTTGTCCAAAAATGTGGAAAAAAATAAAATTTTATTAATAAAATTTGAAATATTTGTCAAAAAAAAAATATCACGAGCTCGTGGGCCGAGCCGAGCTTGTCCACGAGCAACGAGCCGAACTCGTGGATCCGGCTCGGCTCGGCCCACTGCCATTTGTGCCCTTTAACTTACTTAACGTAATAATAAAAAATTAAAATTATAACTAGTAAAATATTTTAAATATATTATTACACACATATATACACCTATAACAAAATTTTTTTGGCGCCCTTATAATGTTGAGGTCCTATGAGGTGACTCAACTTGATCATTTTCAAGGTCACGCACCTCTACATTCATATCAATTAAAATCACCATGGGATATACAATTGACTAAACTCATACACGCTATCTGAAACCACCTTATTCCCATTTTTGGAGCGGAATGATCCACTCTTAAACACCTGCATGAGTCGGTTCTGGCCATCTTGAGTCGAACCCAAATCTCCTCTCAACCACCAACCACTCACAACATGCCAATGCCTCTCCATTCTCCACGGCCAAGCGATCGATCGGTTTCGATTGCTCTGCAATTGTTTATTCACTATTTTTTCTTGACCTTTACACTTTCATTCAAAACAAGTAAATTGTGGGTTTTCACCATTTCGTTTACTATTAAATCGTTACATGACTTCCGCATGGTAATGATATTCAACAACATACAATGATTATCTAATGAAAAAATAATGTGATACTCATAACATCAAAAGTCAATCAACAATTCAACATAACATGCTTGAAATCATTACAATGAGGATTGCATTTACAAATATGCAAGATATCACGTTCTTCGTACGATATTAATTTATTTACATGAATCGTGCTTTGGATATATTAAAACAGTATAAACTGGTTCCAATTCTACAGCTTAATCGTGTGTTACGACTTTTGAGCACGTAAAAAGTGGACTACAAGTTTGAACACCCAACACACAGATTCTCCTTGGTGATTACATATAATATTTATAAATAAGTTAAATATATTTGGTCATGCGACCTAACTTTTCAATAACAAATGTTGGTAAAGTTAAAAGAACATATTAGATTGGTGGATTAGATCGAATAAACTTAAAGAAGACACACAAGGTAAAAAAGAGTATGTCATCATCATGTTATGTGTCCATCTCAATTGTAATTTAATATATATATGTCAAATTCACGACTTAAAAAACTAATTGAAAAAAATTATGAACTTATAGATGCCCCTTCATTTTTATTGAAACAAAAGATAATATGTCAATGACGCTTTTCAATATATATGTGGAGATTGTGACGAAGCTATAAACTTCTTGAATTTAGGCTACAATAATAAGTTTACATAATTTAGCCTCTATTTGATTCCCATTATTTCCTCATTAAAATGAAAAATATGACTGTTATCCATCACATCAAGCCATCAAATTTAAATTTGTATCTCTGTGTGGGGCCCGTAACGGTTATATTTTTCATTCTCATTCTTCCAAAAATGTTATTTTAAGTAAGGAGTCCGAATATGACCAGAGAGACTGCTAACATACGTATGATGATGGAAGTATGATTAGCGCAAGAGAAATATATATTTTTTTACAAAATTTTCCAATTGCCCACCACTAATAATATTTTGAGAGAAACTATCTTTACATGTCTTTTTGGTGAATATATTTTGTGCAGCCCTAGTGTTCTCCTACCAACTTTTGAAATTTCCTGTTGTCTGCGACTTTAGAGACAACATAACAAAGATTCATATATTGAAAACTAGGTGTAGATTCTTTTTATCTATTTGTATGTTGATTCCATGTGGTGGCCTTCAAAACTTCGTCTATTTTCTTTTTATTATTTTCAGTCATTAGATGACCTATATTTGTATCACAAGTCCCTTATCAAATGATACAATTCACCTTCGCCCATTTATTTTCCTTCATTGTGTTAATATTTCGATTATGTTTGGTAAAAAAATTTGTTAATTATAAGAAGTAGGTCCTAAGGAATGTGTCGAAAAAAGTGAATAAAAGTCGTAGATCCTATTGAATGTATAGATAAAATATTATTTGACTAGTTTACAATCTTTAAAAAAATGAGGAAAACAAGCACTCTCTTTCCTTGATCATCATTCTTCTTCATACCTTTCAATTAATTTGTTTTGACTTGTGATTTCTTCGTGGGTTCTCAAGTATAACATCAAAGCAACTCTAAATTTCCGCCTATAAATTATCTTTTGAAGCTCTGCTTTAACAAACACTTTAAACATTACATTTCCATCACCAAGACTCGTGATTAATTATTATTATTATTATTATTATTAAAAGTCTTTCTATAATGTCCCCAAGAGAACAAATTAATGTGCCCGAGCCACAAATTTTTATCAGTATCGCCATGTAATTAAGTATTTTGATTTAAATTTTTTTTCCTTTTTAAGAGGTGGATGGAAAAACTTTAATATGATATACTATCGATTGTTCTAGTGTTAATTTTTTTTTTTTATATTCAGGTATCCCAACTTACACCAAACTAAATTCTGGACCTCCAAGACCCATGCCCCTAGAACCTTGGAGGGGGTAAATCGTGGGATATGCCTCAACTGGATCACAGGTTCCCCCCATTGACTCTACACTTCTGCGCATAAGAGACCCTCCTCCACGGTGATTGCTCCATACCAAATTTTTGGCTGTAGGTTCCCACCAGGAATCGAACTCTCCACTCTGCCGCTGGAAGCAAGCCAATGTTGATTGATTCACCAGTTGAGCTGTGTCCCGGGGGGCTAGTGTTAATTTTTTGAAACTACACTTGCTCGCTAATAATTAGTTAGAAACCAATACTTAAATGGAAATTATATAGTGATCAATATGATCGAGAAAGCAACATCTAGACAAGGAAAGAATTAGTAACAACTTAAAATTAAATCATTTAAAAGTAATCAAGAAACCATAAAATTCTTTTTATATATTACCCATTAACTAATTCCAAACATGTTACCGAGAAACATATGTATGCTAGAAATTATCCTACAAAAAACTTTGTTTCATAAAGTATAGGAAATATATATGTAGCAATAGGGATCCAATAGAAAGCAAGAAGCATATTTTGATTATCTTTGATTCCAAGCAAGAGAATAGGCCAAACATGACGTGAGTTAAAACCTAAATTCAAGAATGGATATTATAAAAAAAAACAAAGGCTGTGACGCACATGGGAATGACAAGTGCATTTTGCATAAGATAACTTTAGGCCCATAAATAATTCATGTCACAAGATGGCTAAAAAGTTTTCACATTTCAACCAACTAATACTTTATTTCTGTTTTTAGTGTTCTATAAGTTTTGTCCACACCACAAATCTTGATGGCTCATGTAGTTTCGTCGATCTATACATACGTACCAGAAAGTATTTCAAAAGAAACTACAACCTTATATATATATATATGTGTGTGTGTGTGTGTGAGTTGTGCTATTTGTACAGACCCATTTGCACAGGATCTATACAGATGTACACACATGGGGGTGGACCCCACACATGAGGTCCACCCTCATGTGAGAACTCCTGTACAGACCCTGTGCAAAGGAGGGTCTGTACAGGAGCTTTATTCATATATATTCATTCTCCATTCCTCCAGTTACCCTATTCACAAAGTTGCCTAATAGCGTGAAATGGCATTGAAAGAACAAGAGACCATTCTTGTTACTCCTTGTCTTCCTATAAGGTTTTCTTTCTCTCTCTCACAATTCTTGGGCTAAAATGGTCTCACTACCATGCCCTTTTGTGGTCGAAAGAGGCTTAACAATGACATGGTAGCAATGATCACCACCAGTTAAAATCTTATTCATTATTCTATATCGTATTATCCAGCACTATGCGCGTTCACGGTGATGTTTTAGGTATACATATTCATCATTTTACAGCATGTTGTTCATATTTTATGTAGATGGTGGTCTAAGGAGACGGTGGCGGTGGTTACGGGAGCAAACAAAGGTATCGGTTTTGCACTCGTAAAACGGCTGGCAGAGCTGGGGCTGACGGTGGTGCTAACGGCCCGAGACATTGGGAGAGGACTAAATGCAGTAGAATTACTGAAGAATGAAGGGCTTCATGTTTATTTCTTTCCTCTTGATGTTTCAGAACTCGCTTCCATCAAGATATTTGCATCATGGTTCCAAGAGAAATTTGGAACGTTGGATATTCTAGTGAGTTTTTCATATTCATTTATTACTTTGATCAGCTTAATTTGATATGCACGTCTAGAATTACATAGTCTATGCTTCGTGATCTTAGCATAAACTCATATCATGTTCCTCGCAGTAGAAAAGATGAAAACCAGTGTATTCTTCGCATAAAAATTAATATTTCTATAACATGCAATATTCTACCTAAGTTTCTTTTTATGTCAATAATATGAGAATATTATAATGACAATAATTTTTTCTAGATTAATAATTAATAAATATATAGAATTTTTAATGCCATCTTTTCATGTATACCCACAATCCAAATAATATTTTTTTTTGGGAATAAATTAGGTGGCACCAGTATAAAATAAAGAAAAAATAATTAAAAAACAATACCCTTCATTTCTTAATTGATATTTGATTCACTTATATATAAAATAATAAAATCAGAGGTTCATAAGGAATAAATATCTGAAACAGACATAAACTACTAAAATCATGTTGCTTAATTATTGGTAAAATAGATAATTTGGTACGAAAAATAATTTAACAAATTAAGTCAAAGATCATAAACAGAAATGATATATTGTTTTATTAGATTTTATTCTAGAATTTTGCACAGTTAAGTATTTTTATTATTTTAAGAAATATTACTGTATATTAGTAGGAAAACTGAAAATAATGACACCAGAGATAATATTGTTTTTTATAAACTAAGTTTCAAACTTGAGAATTGAGATCTTTGGTACATAATTTTGTGACATCGATCGTTTTAGTGACGAACACTTGTCCAATAATAAATAAATATTTATTTGGTACTTAATATGGTATAAAATTGAATTATTTAATAAATGATATTTTGATTTTATGAAATATTATGTATATTGTCAGGTAAATAATGCAGGGGTGTCATTCAATGATATAGGGGAGAATTCAGTGGAACATGCGGAGATTGTCATCAAAACCAATTTCTACGGTTCAAAATGGCTAACTGAGGCTCTCTTGCCTATGTTTCGACGATCAGATTCCGCCGGTCGAATTCTTAATATTATGTGTGTGTGTGTGTGAGTTGTGCTATTTGTACAGACCCATTTGCACAGGATCTATACAGATGTACACACATGGGGGTGGACCCCACACATGAGGTCCACCCTCATGTGAGAACTCCTGTACAGACCCTGTGCAAAGGAGGGTCTGTACAGGAGCTTTATTCATATATATTCATTCTCCATTCCTCCAGTTACCCTATTCACAAAGTTGCCTAATAGCGTGAAATGGCATTGAAAGAACAAGAGACCATTCTTGTTACTCCTTGTCTTCCTATAAGGTTTTCTTTCTCTCTCTCACAATTCTTGGGCTAAAATGGTCTCACTACCATGCCCTTTTGTGGTCGAAAGAGGCTTAACAATGACATGGTAGCAATGATCACCACCAGTTAAAATCTTATTCATTATTCTATATCGTATTATCCAGCACTATGCGCGTTCACGGTGATGTTTTAGGTATACATATTCATCATTTTACAGCATGTTGTTCATATTTTATGTAGATGGTGGTCTAAGGAGACGGTGGCGGTGGTTACGGGAGCAAACAAAGGTATCGGTTTTGCACTCGTAAAACGGCTGGCGGAGCTGGGGCTGACGGTGGTGCTAACGGCCCGAGACATTGGGAGGGGACTAAATGCAGTAAAATTACTGAAGAATGAAGGACTTCATGTTTATTTCTTTCCTCTTGATGTTTCAGAACTCGCTTCCATCAAGATATTTGCATCATGGTTCCAAGAGAAATTTGGAACGTTGGATATTCTAGTGAGTTTTTCATATACATTTATTACTTTGATCAGCTTAATTTGATATGCACGTCTAGAATTACATAGTCTATGCTTCGTGATCTTAGCATAAACTCATATCATGTTCCTCGCAGTAGAAAAGATGAAAACCAGTGTATTCTTCGCATAAAAATAAATATTTCTATAAACATGCAATATTCTACCTAAGTTTCTTTTTATGTCAATAATATGAGAATATTATAATGACAATAATTTTTTCTAGATTAATAATTAATAAATATATAGAATTTTTAATGCCATCTTTTCATGTATACCCACAATCCAAATAATATTTTTTTTTGGGAATAAATTAGGTGGCACCAGTATAAAATAAAGAAAAAATAATTAAAAAACAATACCCTTCATTTCTTAATTGATATTTGATTCACTTATATATAAAATAATAAAATCAGAGGTTCATAAGGAATAAATATCTGAAACAGACATAAACTACTAAAATCATGTTGCTTAATTATTGGTAAAATAGATAATTTGGTACGAAAAATAATTTAACAAATTAAGTCAAAGATCATAAACAGAAATGATATATTGTTTTATTAGATTTTATTCTAGAATTTTGCACAGTTAAGTATTTTTATTATTTTAAGAAATATTACTGTATATTAGTAGGAAAACTGAAAATAATGACACCAGAGATAATATTGTTTTTTATAAACTAAGTTTCAAACTTGAGAATTGAGATCTTTGGTACATAATTTTGTGACATCGATCGTTTTAGTGACGAACACTTGTCCAATAATAAATAAATATTTATTTGGTACTTAATATGGTATAAAATTGAATTATTTAATAAATGATATTTTGATTTTATGAAATATTATGTATATTGTCAGGTAAATAATGCAGGGGTGTCATTCAATGATATAGGGGAGAATTCAGTGGAACATGCGGAGATTGTCATCAAAACCAATTTCTACGGTTCAAAATGGCTAACTGAGGCTCTCTTGCCTATGTTTCGACGATCAGATTCCGCCGGTCGAATTCTTAATATCAGTTCTAGACTCGGATTATTAAACGTAAGTCAACACCGAACCTCGTTAATTTTCATGTACATTACAACACTTGACAAGAAATTTTACTTTTAATTATTCGATCAATTTTGTTGTAAGAAATCATTAGTTGCTTGTAATAAAAATATGATCATCGAGCGATTTTACTGGACAAAAGTTATTTTCTTTAAAAATGAATTTCTTGTAGTGCTTCATTTTTGGTAAAATAATAACTCCAAATATTAACTCTCTCCACAAGCTTATTTATTATTTTATCAAACCTATTAATTTTAAGTTTAAAAATTGAAAGAAACTTAAATTTATAAATAACTTTAATTTGAATTCAAATATATTTGGATTTATTATACGTAAATAAATTAATTTTTTACATTAAAACAGGAGTTAGTTTTAAGTCATTTGCCAACTTTAACTAACAAATTTGTTTATTTTAAGTTTTAAGCGTAGCCATACATGCACTGAGCTTATTTTGAAACTTAAAAATAATTAATTTGCTTATTTTGATTATAGCTTCTTTTAATTTAGAATTAAGTACTTATGCTTGCAGAAGCTGAAGAATCCGAAATTAAGAGAGATGCTTCTGGACGAAGAAAAACTATCAGAAGATCAAATTGATGGAATGTTGAAATTATTCATTGAAAATGTTAAGAGTGAGACATGGAAGAGCCATGGATGGCCAGAAGTCTGGACTGATTATGCAGTCTCAAAACTTGCACTAAATGCACATTCAAGGTTTCTGGCAAAGCGTTTTCAGGGACTTGGGTTAAGCGTTAATTGCTTCTGTCCTGGATTCACTCAGACTTCCATGACCGGTGGTAAGGGCAAGCACACGTCGGAAGCCGTGGCAGAGGTGGCCGCATGCCTTGTATTGCTTCCGCCGGAAAAGTTGCTTACCGGGAAGTTCTACGTGGCATCTAGCGCAGGTGTTTATTCAAAGTTGTAATAAATTAAAGGCGGATAATGTAGCTAGTTTCTTGAAAAGAGTATTGTTGTTCATCAAGAGTGATGATGATTCAATAAACTATGCGACAATGAAGTTAGTTTCACATTGTTCAATGAAGTTGGAATTCATTTTTGTTCAATATGGATTGGAAGTAGCCCCGCTATCACATAAACTAGTGATCATGTTGCTCGAGTAGGATTTTTTGTTTGGAAATGGTGGGTTGAGCTTATTCCAAGTTGTAATGGGATTATAAATGAAGCTTTAGGAGCTGTTAGGGTAGAGATGTGTAACAAGTTAGCAATGGCTCATTAATGTTGTGTGTTTAAGTATTTGTTCGTGTTTCTTTCGTTTTTGTTCGGTTAAAATCAAACATTAATTTCAATTATATATTATTTTGATTAATTTATTTTGATTACACACAAATTCAATAGCATCTGTATGATTTGTCAGAACTTCAATAATTTAATATTCAATAAATTAATAATTTTAATTAAATCATACTTTTGGCTGGTCCGAAGATAACGTGCAAAATTAATAACTCGCTAAATTTATAAGATATTCATAAAGATTCAACGTAATACATAAATTAATTATTTCCTGATACAATAGCTTATGATTTAAATATGAAGTCTTCCTAATATATGATTCAATCATTATCTATTTCTTCTTAAAATTGAAGTCACCTTGGCAAAATTGTTCTCTTGTACACGATGGATAAGATAAAATGTGCCCACAGATACCATGTCAGTAAATTGTTGAATTGTCAATAATGACGGCTTGATTGCTAACGTGACATTGACATGTCAAGTGTGAGCACAATAAACTTTTGATCACCGCGAGCAAGAAATCATCTTTGGTCACCTTGAATCTTATCTCTATCTTTTCTTAATATGTTAAGAACTTCTTAGTGTAATTTTCTCATTACGCAACACAAAAAATTATACGCCCTGTTTGACACCCATCTGTTTCACTCTTTTTTTTTACACTCTTTTTTAATTACATATTCACATAATAAAATATTTTATACGTCTAAAACTTTTCTCTACTTTTTAATAACACATTTTTCCAATAATAAATATTCAAAACATTGTTTTTTTGAAAATAATGGAGGCATAATACTTTGTGTTATAGTTTTTGCTTGGTTAAAAGTTTATAAAATAGAACGATCTAGTCCATTAAACAATATAGTTGAACTCCAACCTTCAGAATCCCCACCGCCTCGCCTCTAGAGCTTTGTGAGGTAGTCCATTAAACAATATAAAAAAAGGTTAAACCCTAACCTTAAGGGTCCCCCATCACCCCTGCCCTGGAGTATCGTGAGGGAGGTAAATCGCAGGTTATGCCTCCAAGGGTACAGGGTGGAAGACTGCCTGTACACTTGCACTTACTCAAGAGTCAAATCCATATTTCAGGACTATTTTGGGGGGACAATGAGTAAATTCGTGAATTTTACTTTGCTAAACAAATACATAGAGATGTGAGTTGATCCTATGTTTGGATCGTGTTCATAAATTATTTATAAACATTTAAACTACTTTTTATCTAAATATTTGAGAAATTCCCAGTACTATCTATTTATATTAATATGTTACTCAAATTTTCTACTAAGTAGGAAATGAATCAGTTTCAGCATCATGATTATCCCTCTGTATGTATTACCAATGGAGATATATTATAAGGTAAATATAAATAATATTGTAAATTTTGATTTATATGCAGTAGCGAGAAAAGAAAATCGGGTTACCCCATTCCTCTCCAGTCTTAAATGCTGATTTTCCTGAGCGAGTAACTCGTTCTTGAAGATGGTATGTTATTGTGCATAAAATTGGTTGAAGGCTTATACTTATTAACACATTGAAGGATTGCCTAGTGTTGAAAATTGTTTATCCAAATTCAGTCGAGTGAACCATTTATGTAGTCAAATTTCAAATTTCATTTTTGTTGGCACTGTTTAAAAGCTATTAAAATAAAATTAAAAAAAATTAGTTACTAATAAAATTAATAAAGTAGTAATTGTTGAAAAAATAGATGTGCATAAATTATATCCAAATAACATACATTTTATGTGCGTAAAATCGGACAGAATTTTGACTCAAAATTCCAACAATTGATGGTTCCAACTCCTCTTAGAAATCTTAGGATTACATAATGATGATTGATGAGTTTGAAAGAAAAATCGAATGATGATTGACGAATTTGAAAGAAAAATTGGAGAATTAAGTTGTAAAGGAATTCTAGTTTTATGAATGTTGAAGATTCATGAACCAACATCAGATTTGCGCGACATTATTCTGCTTGTCAATGGTTACCAATAGTGTCTTGTCCTTGCATCTCTTGAATTCAATTTTGCAATGGTGGGTTGGGTAGCACTGGACAATAGTAAGTAAGAGAAAACTGAAATCTTACTTATTGTATTGTCTAGTCTTGCTGTTGACTGTTGCATGACGAATATGCCCTTTGTGGAAGTTGTAGTTTCGGTTCCTAATTCTTATAATGTTCCTTTTATTCTTGGCTTATTGCCGTTTTGCCCTCAACTATTTAGAGAATAACTAGTTGGTGATCTATTCATTGCTCGTGTAAGGCGCAGGCTCAGAAGGCATGACCAAAGTTGTTTGATTCTTTATTAAGAAATGTCCGAGCTTTTAGGACACCGTGCCCTTGCACCAGAGACTAAGAATCTGGTTGTTGCTGGAGGATTGACAGTTTTCGTCTTTGGCATTTATTTATACACCATGAGAGCTGTTGGTGGTACTGATGAACTACGGGTAGCAAGTGATAAGTTTGAAGAGCAGAAACATAGGACTGAATCCCAAGCAACCTTGGCACCAAAGGCTTAATTGTATGCTCCATATAAACATGGCAATGTAACAAGGAAAAAGAGTTGTGCAGCTGAAAAAAGCTCAGTACTCCTTTGTTCTTGACTCAAGAGTACTCTTTCTGATTTCCAAATGTTAACAAAATTTAAGTATTTTACTGTAATTCTCTAGATTTTTTTTAACTTGTTGATTAATCATTTGAGTCACCTGTGAGTTGGATAATCATAACTTGCACATATCATTACAAAGCACCAGTTGAACCTCAAATCACAGGAAACTTCAGCCATGGAAATTGGTAAGTTGCAATTTTTGAATTAGCTCGTAATGCTGAGTGAGTAATCATCACTTGACAGCTCAAACAGACAATAATGGAGCTACCTTAGAAGATGAGTTAGACATTGTATTTATGAAGGACTATGGGGTACTGAGTTATTAAGCCGAGCTAGATTTGAACTAGCATGGACATATCGCCTAAAAATTTAACGTCCATCTCCAGTAAGTGCTCAGTCATCAGTAATGGAAGAATGTGTTTAGGCTTACTGTCTATCCATGATCAATGTTCACCTTGGAAATTCAGCTACCAAGTGCTACTCGAAAAGTAAAGGCATACAAGGCCACAAGGCTTACAAACTCTGGCCAATTTCTTTGGTGGATATTTAGGGCATTAGAAACAAAATTGCTTAGGTTGACGAAGTCCAGTAAAAATCATCAACACAAGGATTCTAAATATGATAGTTTTAAAAAAGGGGTTTAACATATTCTTTCTCAAATGTGCATTGGATTGATCAATACATATCTGGAGAACCTACACTGCTATATGTTCATACAATACATAATTATTTCTAAAAATCATCATTCAGCCGTATTCTATGCTATTTGAAACTGAGAACTAGAGTGGTTCTTCATCCCATAAAAACTTCAGAGCGATTGCAGATAAATAGATGCCTCCATAAAGATAAACAATGATAAAACAAGACGAAATGGGTGATCTCTTGCAGGACGTGGTAATAACCTAAAGGTTTCAATCTTTGATGAGCAGAGATGTCTTTAATCTTCCAACAAGATGCGGCAACATCTTGATGCTGTCTTGAATGGACTGATCAACACACGACTCCAAATCCTTCATGGCATCACTTCGATTCTGCTGGACCTTGGCCGTCTCAAATTTGTCTTGGCAGACCATCAGAGACCGGTTCAATTTTTCCTGTACGTATCAAAAAACATTCAGATAAACACATTTGAATGTATAGATTAGATAGTGAAGAACAGACGGAACTTCATTCAGAAATGCAACAAAAAGGCTAAAAAGAAGTTACATCACATGGGAACATGTCAATTTATTAACCATGGCATTAAGGTCCCTCTGGACAACCATGAAGAAAAGATTTCCAGTGTAGTAGTATTATTAAAGTCACCACATCCTGGACCTGTGAGGTGCACCTCAAGACCCATACGAGAACCTTGGCATTATGCTCTCATTAGTTTAAAGAAATTACTGTGTACACATCCTCCAGCATATATCATCCTGTCAAATTCTTACATCCTTATACATGTGCGAACACTTGCATCTTATAGGTAGCCAAAAAGCAATTTTGGTTGTTTACCAACTTGAAACTCCCACGTCATTTCTGACAGTTAAACAATCAACAAGAAATGTCTCCAGCAGCTTATTGTAGGTCATAATTTCAAAGTCACCATCATTCAATGGATAAAATGTTTACAAAACATTTTTAAGCCTAAATAACCCAAACAAGGACTATCCCAAACCAAAGTTGATTAACAAGAGTTTATATTGTTTCAGTTTTTGTTAGATTTTATTTGCAATAATGGAGAGATGAATGAGAGAAATCGACACAAGTATTTATGTGGTTTGGCGATTTGCCTATGTCCACGAGAAGCGAATCGGAGATAATTCTTAATCAGTATGAATAATAGTATTACATCATTAGTATTTTCAATTTTTTACTAAACCAATGCCCAAGCCCAAACAAAACTTTAAGGCCCGCACAAGAAAATACTCTTGTACCGCATCGGCCTATTTAATCTAGTAAACGTGTTTCACTCTATATAAGCCGCACATACACAACAGTTTTCCATTACACAAACTAAAATCTTCAATACAAAAGACATCAATATACTCAATGAAGGTAAAAGGAACGACGAAAAAGGGTCTTATTGTCCATCCGACCAAAATGAAATTCACATGAAACTTCTCTAGTGACCTTTTTAATTAAACTGAAAAGATCAAACATAATGCAATTCTTGCTTTAGTGCACCATGTGAGTTTAAACTCTCTTCTTTATTGATCACCAAATATCTGACCAGGGCTACCTCAAAACACAAACATCAACATCAATTTTGTGCAACCAAAAGATATCTGCAAGAGCATGGAAGAGGCTTCACCAGAATAAAACACCTTTTGCTCATTTCCACTTTAAAGCCATAGCTATTTTCATAATAATATAATGTAAAATCTACCTTCCAAGAAAAATATGTGACCCATCGAATCCTAACTGTATGTAGTAGTACTAATGCACATAAAAATATAACAAGGCTTCCTATCTGCATGAAGGCTGAGCTTCTGACCATAACATTTAAGTGAGATAAATGAGTCAAACATAGCCAGTTAAATTACAAACAGTAAGCAGCTAAGTCCTCTTTGTTTCTTTTGTTCACATATGAAACTGAGAAAATGCTCTTGATATCAATTATAAGCCACTTTCCCCAACCAACATCACCGCAACAAATGACATTTTCTTCACTTTCTTTGTCTTACATCTTGAACCGTTTGGAGAAATATAAAAATAGAAGAGGTTGGGTAATGAGGAAAAAAATGATGAATTTATAGAACAGGGAAAAAAAGAAAAACATCAGACAGGCCATGAAGACTGGTAACTTGAAAAAATACATGTTAGGCTGCAGAGATCCATGGTCCTTGGCCCCATTTTTTCCAATTGAACACTTGTGTACAAGATCTACGTAGAAAGGGATAAAATGACATGGAATAAAATAATAAATAAAAATCTAAACTACACTCTAGAACACATAGATTAAATTTTACATATCTAATATAGCAATATAAACTCCTGTAGAGGTACCGTTATGCCCTAACAATTAGAGGTAATTTATCCTCTTAAATTGCATGAAAATCTTGAATTATTATTTACAAAATTGTATAAAATACATCCATATACCATCATGCATTCATACACAAGCACATGGTCACCCACGCACCAAGACCCATTCATCAGATTCCCATAATGAATGAGCTTATTATCATGATTATTAACTAAACAAAGAGAAAGATTAATGAATACAACTAAATAGAATTCAACAACAAAAACATTAAAAATAACCTATGTTCTGCCCATTAACAGCCATTATTCCTATTGTAAACCATCACACCCATTCTCAAAACAAGCCAAAGAAATTTCGAGAAAATAATCCAGAAAGAGTGACTATTACCTGAAATTTAGCCATCTCATTTTCGACAAGATTCTGAGCAGTGAGCACAGGAACGGTGCAGTGCTCTACACAATTGCTAATCTCATCCTGCTTTCTCCTCCTGTCGAAACACTCGTAGGCGCACTTAAAATATGCTTGCTGAAATCCCACAAATCATATTAGACAACAAATAAAAAATTAATCAATTGAAAAAATAAACACGCAAACCTAGCAAGAAATGTAAGTGTGTCTGTATATAAAGGAGACCTGGAGGGTAAAATTGACATGGTCCTGAACAACAGAGAGTTCCGATTGGGCAGCGCTGTTGACCTCGTTGAGTTTCTGCCTCAATCTTTCGTTCACAATTCGTTCTTCTGCTGCAGCTATGTGGTCCATTCTTGAATTTTCTGGTTTATTTTTCTTCTTTTCGTTATGTTTATTTGGGGGCTTTGTTTTGGGGGAATTTAGGGTTTAGGGATTTTGCTGGGTTTAAGGCCTTTTGCCTTTTCTTTTTGAAGCCAAAATGAGATTTAATATTGCTTGTCTGAACCGGTGAGCGTGGGTGCAAAATGGTTCGGTTCGTAGAAAATCCTGAACCGTGAACAAATGGTTTTCAAACAATGAAATCATTAAGGGTGCATTTAATTTCAAGTATGACGTTTGCATGAAAAAAATAAATTTTAGATAATTCAATATCCTATAACTTATTTACATGAGAATTGTAAATTATATGTGTTTGATTGACTTAATTTTGAACCTAAAAAATATTATACTTGTTCGATTTTTATTGGTAGGTAGATGAGAGAGTGAATTTCTTAGAAAATAAAATCCTACTCCATTTGAAGAAAATATTTTTGTTGAGGAAAATATGGTTGCGTGACCAAAAGTGAAAAAATATTTTTTATGGAAAAAAATGTCAATCAAACAGTACACATGTAGGAATTTGGATGGAAAAAATATATTTTTCACGAAAAATATTGACAATCAAACGGATTTTAATTCTAATATTAATTATGGAAATGAAGCACAATCGTATCGAATGATTTCAATTTGTTTTGATTGATTCCATAATCAAAAATTTTAAATCATTAATACAAATTGTACAGAATTATACGTAAAGTAACAAAAAGTCCCATCTTCATACAAAATATTGTGCAGTAAATATATATTCACCAAGTGAACAAATAAACATAATTGAATTAGAATCGGTTATGATTATTGGTTCTTGGTACTAGAACCAAATTGAACAAAAACCAACGGGTTGTTGGTTCAAGGAACAAGATCCGTTTAAAAATGGAATCACATCAAACTGGTTAGTTTTGGTTTGATTCGATTGGTTTCAATTCGCTTATCGACCCTTACTTGTTAAGCGTTCACATATGCACATATGCTCAGAATGTTTTCGAAACGCCTCACATGTGGTATGCTCATAATAATGTAGTCTACCCATTTTGTTGATCTCATATGCACGCCCAAACATAAAAATTGCACGCATTTGTGTGGAAAATGGTGTGAAATTAACTTAGCAAAGCCAGCTTACTTTTATAATTAAAAAAAAAAAAAAAAAAAAAAAAAAAAAAAAAAAAAAAAAAAAAAAAAAAAAAAAGAAGGAAAGTCTAACAAACACTAAATTAGGCCAAACCACCCAAGCCCAAGAATTATATACAGCAATCTTTAGGGTTTAACGTCTAAAAATGGCAAGCCCAAGCCTTCTTCTTCGATCTTCTTCTAGCTTTACTAACAAGTGATATTAGTAATGCACAATCTTAAATCTTACCATCTACAACAGGAATAAAAAATTTCAATTGAAATAAGGGAGCCAATGAAATTGATTTTACATCGGATGACAATGGAAGATGATTTGAACAAAGAAATAAATTAGAATCCGATGAAGAGATAGACAACATTTAGGGTTTTTAAGTCAGTGTGTGTGTGTGTGTGTGGGGTTTAGAATATATTTGAAAAATATATAAAATTCAAAAAATGTATTATTTTATTTCCTTATGAATTTAGAATAATTAAAATAATATTAACAATTGAAATAAGCATAATTACGCATACGTTCGTAATGCTTGTTGTTCGATCGAAACGTATTGTCATACATTACGCATTTTGGAACCCGACTTGTTAGTATTGCTTTCAAGCACTTATAGACAATAAATCTCACATAATGTGTGGATAATAAATAAATAATTAGCTGTGAATTCTGCATAATATGAGTAAAAAAAATGTTAGCAATACCGAACCTATATTACTTAGGTCAAAGCAGTAGTAGCATCAATGAATATTAAGAGTAAGATTAGCACATTATTTATTTGTGCTTACATGACATTTCTTTATTCTTATGTAATACAAATTAACATTGGAGATGCTTTAATACATGTTCCACGCTATTGCACTCTCACATGACAAAACGACAAAGTAAAAGCGATTGCTAACTATTGTAGAGATGGCTAAATTATCCACTCCTATCTTTCCATGCATTGTCCCCCTCGATTAGTAAATTGGACGGGGACTGAGAACAAACTCCAACATCAAATTTTCTTACCTAGCTTTGATGTATTCATTTATTTTATATTTATATTTTTTTAAGTTATATTTTAAAATTAATACAAAAAACTCATAACCATCTCGTGCCGTTTCTCAAAAATCCTGGATGGAGCGAAATGGATTGGCTGCTCTGTTGCCATTCCTATATAACTGTTGTGGCTGTATTGCAAACCTACATACATTTTGGCTCTTGTTTTTAAATTATCAAATCACCTTTTATTTATATTTATATGTTTTAAAAGAATTTCATTCAGACTGCGATTGAAATGAAAACGAAACATTCAGACTAACTGCACTTATGGACAACGGATTATGCCTATTTTCCTATTAAACGTTTCTTTGATTAAAAAATTTTCAAGAAATAAATTTTTTTTTTTTTTTTTTAAAGAATGTGATTAAAAATATGAAGAAAAGATATGGATTTCATAAAATATATATTTAAAAATGATTTTGAAATTTTTTAAAAAATCTCTCCTAAACAAACTCAAAATCAAAAGATACGAAGAACATAAAATTATAGTGTCTCAAGGAATTGTGTTTATTGGGCAAGGAACTAAATGAAAATTTGGGGGAAAAAATCAATTACGATCGAATAACTGCAAAAACGGGTGAAGACATGTAGCGATTTGTTCGAGGCCGTAATCAAAATTGAAAATCGATTTGACAGGCACGGAGAATCGCAGACTATTATTGCCAACCTTCAATGCAAGTGATTCGTCATCAGAAATCGACGCTCTTGCTCTGCAAATTGGCTTTTTTCGCCCTTGTAATGCAAAATCAATTCAAAGAAAATAATAATTGAAAAAAAAATGGAAAAAATCATTACGACGATGAACCTCCAAAGATACAGAGATAAAAGATAGAAAGAAATGGGGAGGCATTCGAATTTATAGGCTGACGAAGGAAAGAGGAACAGAGAAACCCTAGATGTGAATTGTCTAAATTACCCACGATATTTACTCTTATAATAATATAAGAGGCTGATTATCCCAATTGTCATGTATCGCAAGGTGATGACTTGATACTTGACATAGCATAGGAATATTATGGTATAATGTGGAAAAATGAGATAGACCTATGATCAATAAGGTCCAAATTTGGACAGTACATGACTATGAAGGCGTCGCCAAATTTAATGGGGGAGTGACTTACATCCCCCATGGTCGAGGCCAATACGTCCAGATTGTGGCTAGGAAATTCGGATAACACAGATAGTGCGTTACGGTTAGATGGAAGTACCTGCAGTAGGAGACACGGATAGGGGAAACACAAGCACTACGGTAGGGGACGCAGGACGAACCTACGACAGGGGATGCAGGTCGAACAACACAAAAACCTGTGACAGGGGAAGCAGGAAAGGACCAAGTTAGGAACTGTGGCAGGGGGACGCAGAAAGGCAAAACTCAAGCAGACGCAGCAGAGGATGCAACGGGAACAACAACGCAAGTAGATTGCGGCAGAGGACATAACAGCAACGCAGGCAGACTGTGTAGGTAGCCGCAGGCTTGGGACATACCATGGATTATAGCTGGTTGTTTTGAATGCAAGTGAGTGTCAACTTGAACCAATTGGGCAACTTGCAGAACAAGGCCAACATGCCACTTGACACTTTGCTTGAGGAAGTAAAGTCCAACTTGGCCACCTTGATAGAGACATATCCACTTGCACACATAAGTTGTAGAGATTTTTTTTTTTTTTTTTTTTTTAACGAGGTGTCCCAGCTTACGCCAGACTATATCCTCGTCCCTGAACTTCCGGCCCCTCAGCAGCTCAGGGAGATAAATCGCCGGATGTGCCCAAGTTGACCAGGGTTCGAACAGTCTTTGTACTCCTGACCCCAAGGGAGCCTCCTCCATGGTTAGTTGCAGAGATTTACTTGCATGGAAAGTGACATGCCAACTAACATAGAGTTAGGAAAGGGGCAAGATACAATGCAACAAGGTAACTTGTAAGGTAGTCAATTCCAGCTTTGCCACCTTATGGTCAAAGGAGGTTTAAGGCAATTGGAAACAAATGAGAGCCCATGGATCAAGATTAATCATAGTCATTGATGACAACTTGCATGCCATGAGTTTACCTATAAATAGAGGGACTTGATCATTTGTAGTTCATATGAATGAATTGAATGGAGTAGAGGGAAAAATAGAGAGTTGAGAAAAAATTCCCATGAATGGAATTGGAGTAAAGTAAGACTGAGTGATATCTTTGTAGAGAGAAAATTGTAGTGAGTTTGTAAATAGTTTTCTCTTATATTAATACAAAGAAATTTCTCCAAATATATCGTGTGCTCTTTTCTTCATAAATTTCGTATTTACCATCTCTACCAAATTAAACATATAATTTAGCCTCATTTGATTAAATTATTGTGAAGGTATAAAGCTGACTTAACGTTATCTCACGGGGACAAAACTGTTGAAACGTTAAGACCGCAAGGTTTTTACGTAGTTCATGTGAAACGAAATTAGGCCTATGACACAGTGCTCTAAATTTTCCTTTACGTGACATTTCATCTATTTTTAAAAATTATAAAAAATCGAAATATCTCTTAATAAATAATTTCATTGCCTAAACAAAGGAAGAAATTTTACATTTTCAATTTTTATCTCGTGTTATTAGCGGTGGGCATTGTTACAGGAACGATTAAAACTAGAATAGAATAAATTGAAGTATCTGATTCGATATAATTGATTCAATTCTAGATCTTAAACTGAAAGTTGAAGTCTAGTTTTTTATTCTAAATACATAACTAAATTTTAATTCGATTCCAAAAGTATTTTTCAGAATAACTTAATTAAATTAATATTTATTCAGAATAAATGAATAATCAACAATAATTTGTTCAACAAGCAAGCAAACATGATCCGATTCCAATGAAACTAGATGAGAGTTAACAAAAAGGCCATCCCATTTACATCATAACACAAAATATTGGTCAAACACTTGAAGTCATCGCATGACC